GTAGGAGTGAGAGAAGTAAGGTAGTACGTATAGTAATAATTAGTTACTTACTGACACTACACTATATATATATATATATATATATATATAAATATATATACGAGGATATGCTGGTATGGTCTGTTATTTGCACATGTGTGAAAATACACTGGGGAGAGAATAGGTGTATATGGTATATCAGTACGTCATGCATATATATATATATATATATATTTATATATGTTCATGTAGGTATGTGCATCGTTGGGTGGTAAGAAAGGAGTATTAAAAACGCTCGTGTGAAGACAATTTGTGTGAAAGATCGTCGCAATGTTCTGAATAGATTTGCTCGCACACACGTGTTGCACACGCTGATATGAACAACCAATCAATTTCACCAAGTGTTTATGACCGTTCCTCACAAACATTACTACTCACATATGTATACATTCCGATCTAGGATCTCACTGATACTAGCTATACAACCAGGGGTTAACTTGTTGACAAATCAGGGTTTAACTCGTTGACTTACATGCCCTCACCGCCACCCACCCTGATACCCCATATCCTCACAGTGCTGACCCAAGCACATGGATTTGCACTACAATCACACCTCACATACATCAACACACAGCCGCGCACACACTCCAGTCACGTATCCCCCAACCATTCACAACAAACAAGGTTTATAAGAAGAAAAAACCCCCCCCCGGGGTTATAACACTAACATACTCGCTCGCGGGTGTAAAAGTAACATACTTGCTCGTGCCACCAGCCGCCTTGACATCCCACAAACGCACAGTGTTGTCTGCGCCTCCGCTGGACAGCACATTGGTATCACCACTGAAGCAGAGCGAGTACACGGCATCCTCATGGCCTGTGAATGTGGCCACCTTACTACCTTGCGCCAGATCCCACAGGATCACGTCCCTATCCTCGCCTATGGGTTGGTTGGGGGTGGGGGTGGGGGGGAGGATATGCATGTTGAGTATATACATATATATAGATACAGATACAGATACAAGCACAGGCACAGGCACAGACCCAGACCGACCCACATATATATATATGTATGTATATATCTATCTATTTATCTATATATATATATATATATATACGTATACACACACAAAAATTGCACGCAGAGATAATCCATTGGATACACTTATCCACCAGAAACAACCCTTCATGGACACAATCAAGTACATACACTTGTACACCATGGCATAACCAACATGAATGTAGAGCATTCACACAGAGACAATCGGTTCTATATGCCTATACAACCCACAATCCCACAAACATGTACAATATCCAAACAGTATGTCTGTATACGACGCACAGTACCTGCCGAAGCCAAGTATTTGCCGTCGGGTGAGATCGCCAAAGAATAAACGGTCCCTGAATGGCCGGTGAGCAGGCGCACACAGTCGCCTGTCTTGACATCCCACAGGCGCACCGTTTCATCACTCGAACCCGTCGCCACGTAGTTGCAGTTGGGATGGAACTTCACGGCCTGTTTGGTTGAGCCAAAGGGGAAGGAGTTCGATGGGATGTGATATCTCAGTGAGACCTCGGCACCGATTGGGTGTTTATATAGAGATACAGTGAAGGCGATACATAAGAGTATGTATACACATACACAGGGAAAGGGATGCATTTGGGTTTATATACACATACACCGGGAGATAGATACAAACGTATGGGTATATATACATATACACAGGGAGAGAGATACATAAACGCATTTATACACATACACAAGGAAAGAGATGCATACAGAAAGCAATACACGATGCAAGACACAGACGTCAGTATGTGGCATGTGATACATGCAGTGTGATTTGGCTACACCCTAACCCGTAGCCTTATAGTTGCATTTGGGGGATTAGGCTGAACTACCTACTGCTAAGCGGTCTGAGCATTTAACCGAACCTTCTAACGTCCTAAAGTATCAGCACTGGGTGCACCATGTGCGTGCGCATACAATACACTAACGGGACGAGAACCCGGCCGTCTGAGTGACAAAGGCAAGGTATGATGATGCAGTGTGTACTTATCTAGTCTGAGCTGTGTAGTTATCCAGTCTAAGGCGTGTTTGCGAATGGTCTGAGTGACAAGGGCAATGTATGATGATACAGTGTGTAGATATCCAGTCTAAGGTGTGTAGTTATCCAGTCCAAGGTGTGTAGTTATCCAGTCTAAGGTGTGTAGTTATTCAGTCTAAGGTGTGTTTGCGGATGGTGGTCGTCTGAGTACAATCCACCTGCACTGACTATCAATACCACGCCATCCCTCCGAGTGCGTGTAGGTGTGTGGAAAACGTTAGAAACGCTGTGGGATCATCGCTGCTGGCGCCCATGTGTTTGGGGTTCATTTACGTTTGGATATTGATAGAAACCACTTATACACCCGCTCATACATAAATACATATTGATATACATATATATATATATATATATATATATATTAATATATATATATATATATATATATA